ATCTGGAGCGCGGGAGAGACGCCGAGCTTGTGGATGAGGTCGGTCATCAGCTGGGGGTTCGCCTCGAGGGGAATGAAAGCAGGTGCACCCTGTTGGGGATCGGGGTCTGTGGTTGTCGACATCCTGTGTGATATGCCACTGCGGTGAGAAAGCTTCGTTGACGGTACTCCTTGGCTAGTAAGAAGCTCTTTTTGGTGGAAGAATGATGGATCAACAAAGCTTTAGGCCAAGTAAAGCTTTTACCACGGATTTTGGGACGAAACAAGCACTGCTCGATTGTGGGGGAGCTTGAATTGGCGATGCTCTTGATGATGGTGAGGGGTTCTGCGAGGCAGCAGCGCATAACACGTTAATCAGCTGCTGTACCTACCAGCTGGCAGACCTCGAATGACGTAGCGCGTCGTGGAGGGGTCATGTCATCCTCCCCGTTGGCCATTTCCCCTACCCTGTAGCCACGAACATTCAGATGCATGATTCATCGCGGCAGCGACAGCTCTCATCAACCTTCAGCACAACATATATCATACCTTCAGAGACTGTCGCTTCTCCTCACCCTAGAACGCGATGCGGTAATGCTTCGCGCACCCGGTCCGCTTCTGTGTGTGGACCGTGTGTGTGTAGTTGAGCTAGTCTTCTCTAATGTTTGCTAAAGTCATTTTCCAGAAAAGGACATTGCTATCTTTGTCCTTTGGAAACTTCTTGGAAGACTGTTGACGCTATCACAAGTCTAACAGCTGGTCCATCCATCCAAAAGGGCAGTGGGCAAGCGAAATTACGTGGTGAGGAAGCAAACGGGTAGTGACAGTCCTTTCTTTGCGAGCCAATGCTGATTTATCATGGTAAATTGTCCCAAATCTCCCATGGGCTGGATTGGGGCCGCTAGGGGATAAGATCAACAAACGGTTCCCTCCGACAGCACGTGGAGTTCGCGCCCTGGGCTGGGGAAGGCAGTCTGCCTGGTCGTCATCCTCACTAGGTCCAAATGAGCATGGGCCTGGACGTTCAGCGCCATGGCCTCCGGAGAGTTCGGACATCTACCAATCCAATACCCCCCCGAGACGACATGTTGACGAATGCAGTAGCAACCGGCATGGGGTTCGAGGAGGGCTGACTGAGATCAAGTATAAAACTGGAGAGGCCCTGAATCGCTACTCGGGGATTGGAGCGCAGGCCTGAGTCTGAACCAGCATGTTGGTAACGTGTGGAGGCTGCAGAGTGCAGGAGAGGCATGAAGGGTCATGGGCATAAAACCTTGGACTGTTCCATGGCCTTCGTGATCATGCAGGTTTGTACGAGAAAGGCATCGACGAGGTGGCACAGGCTTAATCCAGAGGCCGCCCATGTTGTTTTTGCTCTGTGCATTGAGCATCAGCACGCGCACGGCTACAAAGGACTAAACTAGTAAAACACAATGACCTTTGAAGAGCGGGAAGCTGAGCGCCTCTGCACGAGTCGTATGAAAGGCGGGGGGATCTTGCGTTGGGCTCTTTGCATACGATGCTGATGGGCGGTGGCTAAAGCACCAGCATCGCAAGCAGACACGAATGCCATTGGCTAACAAAGCAGCCCATCGACAGCTTCAATGAACTGGGTGTCGAGATTCCACCAACATGCAGATGGAGCCGACATAGCCCGCCTGACCCGCGTACCACCTCTTCGGATCTACTACGCAGTTTGGAGATGTGCTACCGAGAGGCCAAAGAAAGCTAGGCCATCAAGGTAGCTATCCAGCTACTGCACGCAGCTGGATGATAGTGTGAACAACTCATCAGTGGCTGGTCATAGCTTCGGCACTTTGCATTGAAGCTAATGAGTACTTTTCACCTGGGGTTACACCTGGTGAGGCGGTAATGACGGTGATTATCGTGACGCTGACACCGAGCCTCGACGAAGGGTGAGGAGGCGGAGGAAGGAAAGGAGGGGAGGAGGGGTTCAGCCAGCCATGGCTAAAGAGCTGAAGAAGCTGAGAAAGCGGAATAGTCGAGATATCGTGAATTAAGGACGGGTCCAGTCATGGACAGGGGCCAGAGAAATGAGCTGCGCGTTCCCGTGTCACACACACCAGAACAAGATGCGCGGCCGCTACGCAATGGGCAGTCGGGAGGAGGCAGGCGCAGGTCCAGAGACAAAAAAGACGAAGAAAAAGAAAGGCGGCGGCAGCCAAGATCAGCAACACCAGCCCATCCTAAGCCGCCAACAGCCCCCGAAAGGCCCCCAAAAGTCAACGAGTCGCATCTTGAAGAAAAGTTTTGGGTGGAGACGCCGATCGACATCTCCAACTAGCCAATCGCATCCACTCCTCCAGCCCTGATAATCTGCAACTGGGTTAGCCCTGGTCTCACTCGATATTGCCCTGCCTGTGTCTTGTCCTCGACTCCTGCTCCTTGTCTGAGCTGAGTCTTCGAGTGCTGTGATGGGGCCTTGACCGGGTGAGGCTCTGGTTTGGGTCATGTTGAGCATCATTGTCCCAACCTCAGCCGGCCGGGTGTGGCTTCCGATAGACGGAGAATCTGCAGGGCCCGGAATTTGATTCAGGCCGTGCCATGATTTGGTTAGGCAAAGAATTGAATTTTGCCGTTTCTTTTGATATTCCAGGCACAGGGATATGCCCTCTGACGAAGATGCCGCTCGTATTAATTGTGCCGCCGCCATGCCGCAGTATCACGGATGCTGGCGCTTGTTTTTCCCCTCGCTACCCAACAGCTGAAAGAAGGGATACCGCCATTTCTTCGTTATCGGAGTTTTCCTCTTACACAGACCGTATTTTCGTGGTGATACATGCTGTAGACCTGCTGGGAAGCAAGCAATCCTGGTCACCATGATCCTCCCAAGCTCCCTTTTAGTCTATTTACGTCCCGATTCCCGTATTGGGTCGTCACGAACAAGGAAGCAACAAACTGATGGCTTATGCGCTGCAGTCAAGCGTGAGGGATTGAGTGATACCAGCCAATGTTGTTGGTCGTCGGTGTGAATAAGTGCGTTGGGTGCACGCCTGTATGCATGCACATCTGCATGTCTGTACTGCGGCCGAGTTCACAAGACCACGGCATCGATTGTCTCGCTTCTCAGTTACATTGTTGTCTCCCCGTCTCGGCCGCAAGCTGGCAATCGATCGGCTGAGCAAGCCACCGCGAAAGGGAGGCGAGACGTATTGGTACATGGCAATCTTGCAAGTTGAGCGAGCAAACGTCACTCGCTGGCGGATGGCCAGTGACGATGCTTCGGGTGATTAAGATCGATCTCCGCTGCGGTAATTGTTTGATTTCTGGAGTTTGCAGTCGGTAATCTAACATCCCCAGGCCATAGCAGCGATCTTATTGGGCAGTCATGGAGCTCATGATCTACACTGTCCATCAATCGATGCAGCCTCTTTCAGCTTGCATTCTGCACGCTGTTTTGCTTTTTTCTCCACCCCGTTTTCCATCCCAGGATGTGGAATTCCATTCTTGCTGCCAGTCGAAATGGCTTGGCCTATGGTCCCAATTGAAGATGAAGCGAGTATCTGTGCGGGCTTTTTTCGAGCTCGCGGCGGTTCAGCTCGCCCAGGCCTCCGGACCCATGATCCTGCGCTGCCGGTCTACCATCGGATCCATGATGCATCCAAGCAGCCCGACATGATGGCAACCAGCATGGGTTGCTCAACTGGGGCACGCTAGGACACGCTATGCTGCACTTTTCTGTAGCTAGCCTCTCGCCAGTCACGACTGGGATGCTACATGGTGCGCCTTAGACCCAGGCCCAGCCTCCACTCAAAACGCCAGTCAAACGAGAGAGAGTAGCTGAGAGTGCCGTTTGGGCATTGGTCGTGTCTCCATTCTGTGTTCCGCGCCGCGGTGCCCTCGCACAGGCAAGGTCTCAGGCAGGGCCCCCCTGTCGATCGAGAATATGCGGCACCCCGACCTACAGATATTCCACGGCCTGCTCTTTGACTTGCCTGCTTCTCCGCTCAGGACTCCATGTACCTGCTTGGGCTGCTGCGCTGGCGGCGGCTCGCACGAACGCATGTGCGGCCGTGGACTGGCACGTAGGCACACGATTCATTCAGTTTGGGATGGATGGATGGATGGGGCAACGGCATGGATGGATGGGTTGGATGGACGGACAACTGCCTCTACATTATTTAGCACTACCACCTAATTAATCCACTGCCCAATATTATGACCCTAAAACTGGCTACGCACTGGCTAAATTATGCACATCCCACTTCCTGCTCCTCCCCGGTAGCCTCTGGTGCCAAGCTTTGCCATGTCGTGCTTCCCGCGGGCAGGCCAATACACCCTCGACCCTCCTCTGGACTCTCCTGCTCGGCCTCTCTCATGGATGGCTGCTTGCTGTTGCTTGCCATCCCCACTTGACTTCACGCTCGTACTTGTACCTACACCATACACCATATACATATAGTACCTGGCAAGCCACTCGCAGCCTTCCTCTACTTACCTTGACGCCTCGGTCGTGCCTCCCGCCGTGGTCTGCCCCTTCCTCCTTCCCCAGCTCTGTAACTATCGAAGTAGTACTTTCCCTCTCCATTTTTCTTTCTCCCTTCTCCCTCCCATTCTCTCCAACCACTGCTTCCATGTCCATTTTCTTCTGCTATTCTTTTCCTTGAATGCGCCTCACCCTCTAGTGGCGAGTTCCTCTTTCCAGGGCTGTCCAAGAGCTTGTATATTAATTACCTGCCTTTCTTTACACGACTCGGCTGCCCAGACATCCACCCATTGATCGCAGCTCTCGTCCAACACGCTCACTGCGCTTCGGCCAAGAGACGCACAAGGCACTGGTGGTCGGTCGGTTGGACCAACTCGACCCAGTCAGTCTGCCGCCACCGGATGGACTAGACCATCCATCTCTCTCAGCTACCTACTTCTTTCATCCGCTCTCCTCCGTCTTCCCAGCGACAAGACAACCCGACACTGTGAGACCGAACCCAAAGCGAAGCGAAATCACCGAGCCACACAGCCCAACCCAATCAATGGCTTGCGCTCGCCTGTCGCAATCGCATCATGGGTCTCTTCAAGTTCTTGTCCAAGAAGGGCTCCATTGATGAATTATCCCGGCAGCAGGCGACTACCAAAGGCCAGGCATATGATTCCACCACCATTGCCCCACCACCCATCCGAGGTTCGTTAGCCAGAGTTGCCATGCTTTTTTCTTCATTCCATTGCTTCATCCATCATTACGTCGATATTGTCTACTGTACCATGCCATATCTGAGGACTGGGACAGCGGGCTTGGTGCATCTTCGTCGCATGTTTCAGTGCGGGTCGCAGTTGTTGCAGAATAGCGCCTCGAAACGTGGTGTTGCATGCCTACCTGTGAATGAGGTGTCCCGACTGTATCAGCTCCATCGTACTGACCTATTTCTTGTGTAGGCACCCTTCCTGTTCGCGGTAATGGTCCCACCAATATTCAAAATCTCAAACAAGCCGCTCGTGATCGCGCTCAGGCCCAGAATGATGCTGGATTAGATACTACCATCCGACTACGTTCTAGGAGTGTTGGCCGACCCAATACCGCGCCAGATGCCCCACCTTGCCCTTCCTCGCAGCAAAGACCAAAGTCATCTGGCAAGTCTAGTGCCCGGAAGCGAGACCCGACCCGCGCTCAGCCTTTCCTTATCAACAAGCGACCTGGTCCGCCATACCTCATCGGTTTAACAAGCCCGCAAGGTGACTCTGCGCAAGTACAAGATGACAATGCCAGCACCAAAGGCCGAGGCCAAATGCCTCCTCCTGTGCCTCCCATCTCCGCGCACTTCAAGCAGTCGTCGATTTCCACAGCCAGCTGGACAGTTGCATCCGATACCGCTTCTATCAAAACCGGGATGGCTTCTACTTCCAATTCCGTCGCTAAGCCCCCCAACGGCCATATCGACATCCTCGATGCTCAAGGCGCACTGAAGCCCTCTGATTTCAAATCCCGTGTGAAGGCTGCTGGCGCTCGTGACTATGGGGAGGACGTGGCGGAGCGTAATTTGGGTGTCAACGGTGTTGACCTGACTAGCCCGGCTGTCCAGGCTTTCTATGCTTTGACTGGCGGCGCTCAGCTTGCCTATAAGTCTGATGGTAGTGCCATTGACGTCTTTGGCAATAAATACGCCGCCGGTTCCATTCCAATCCATTTCCAGCGAGCGCCACGACTTGTTTTCGATGAGCAGTACGACTCAGAGCCGGCTCTGTCGTACCCTCACCACAAAGCAAAGAGTAAAGGAGATAGCTACCCCAAGCGAACGACAAGCCTGGAGCCTCGGTTTGCCAGCTTGCTGCGGAATCCTGGTGAGGCTGTTGGCCCAAGAGACACAAGTTATGCTGCCAGCGAGGCCGCTTTGCGCCGCAAATCTGTTCATGGGAGCGCTTTATCCCCCCCTTCTTATTCACAGCCTATGGCTCGCCCTTTGAGCATGCACTCCGCAATTATGCCCGATCATTACATCGATGCGGCCACGATCCCCGACATTCCACGAAGCCGGCCAAACACAGGTTCCTCGGCCGGGCAAACGCCTACCAAACTCAAAAATGGACGATCCAGAGATTCGTCTGCCTTGTCCAAGGAGCACTATTTTGTCAAGACTTCAAACTCATCCAGGTTTCAGCGAGATGATGAGTCCGTTGCCTCGTCTACGATTTACGATGGCGAGGAAACTGAGACGGACGATGCTGAGCCCTTCCAGCATCCGCGACCTCAGTCGCCACAGAGAAGGGGGCGGGATGACCAACGCGAGCCGAGTTACGATGAGATTGGGATCGCGACATCTGACGATTTCTTGTCCCCTGTGCCCCCAGCGCCTCCCGCTCGTGAGTTCTCTGCTTCCTCTTCGATGGTTAACACCATACACTAACATGAGTCTACCTCGGCAGGCAACCCCAACCGTAACTCTGGTCTTTGGGTTGATCATGTCCGCCAGCTGCAGCAGCAAAACCATCAAGTGGAATCAGACGCCCACAATCAACGGAACCAGAAAAACACCAGTCCAGTTGGGCAGATTCGTTCCGAGCAAAGCCAGCCTAGTACTTCTCGACCCTCTAGCTCCTCTTCCCGCACCCGTAACCGCTCTGTTGGTGCCAGCTCCTCCCATGCTGGCCGAGTATGTCTCGATGATATAACTGAGCATATTCCTAACCGCAGCTCATCTCTATCCGTGTCTTCTGTTACACCTACCGTGGCGTCCTCGAACCAATCTAGCAACCCGTTCCCCCGCCCTCAGAGCCGGCACACAGCCAACACCTCCGTCGATCTCGCCTACTCTATCCCCGTGAAACCCCCAGTTCTTGATTACAGCCACGCCCTGAATGGCAAAAACAGCCGCAACACATTCGGAAGCATACACGGTAGTCGTGAAAACGTTGCTGCTACGTCACCGATTTATGACAACGAGGATGGTTACTTGACGTCAACAACTGATGGATCAGACATTGAGTCATACATTAAGAAGCGCACACGCAAGAATCGCGACGGAGAAGGTCTTCTTTTTAACGAATCTGGTTACGGTGGTGCTCTTCCCGGACTCTTCGATAGCCCAACCGGAATCTTTTCTTCTTTACCGGCGCCCAGCAGCCTTCCCAGCACGCAGTATAGACCGAGGAGCAGCGGCCTTCGCCACTCGAAGGCGCCTATTTCTCGTCCATTCACTAGCCATTCGCGGGTGCTTCCACATCCCTTTCCGACATGGGAGGAAGGTGACTCGTCATCATCGATGACCGTCTCAGAGCCAGATATCGAGACTCCGCGTGGTGACAATGTCGCTTCACCTGTTGATGAAGCTGACAATGAACACTCGTTAAATGGCATTGGCCATCTTGACGATAATAAGCTCAGTACCGACCTCGCCGTCCGCCTGAGAAAGCAGCTGAAGCGTCGCAATAGGGTCGTGGCTCGGGAGAAGCTATTGCAAGAACAAAAAGAAGGACTCGACCATGCTCAATACCAATTCAAATCCGTGGTGGAATAGTATTCTCTGCCCGTGCAGTAGAACTCGCTAGGAGATGTTATGCTCTTTCATCGACTTACAACAAACCTCAACTCGACACACTGGCACACAAAAAAAACTTGCAATACCATCACAACACAACAACCAACATCTCAACATAACCATATAGATGTATTTAGACAGCTCAGGCATGGAAGGTGGATATGGTAATGGTGATATGGCATAGATGATGAATGATCTGTTAGGGGGTCCACAGGGCTTTGGAAAGGAGGATAGGTTCCTTGGTGAACATGTCCTCCAGTCCCTCCCCCCCTTTACGTACGCGCGCTACCTTTTTTTGCTCTTGGTTATGTTTATGAAATTTAAACCTAGTTAATACCCAACAGGCGACGAGACTGTTTTCTTTCACGATCACTTGTTAGTTAGGAAATGAGCCTTTTGGTTAAATGATGATCAGATGATACGTCTTGACAAAGCGATTCGATAAATGAATGATGAGATGGTCTTTAGAGAATGATTCGCGAAGATTTTTTCTACTTGGTGAACTAGGAAGGGTACCTTTCGTTTTTGATGGCAACATTCCAAGGATGGTTTCGTTGGCGATTGTCTAGATCATGCAATACTTCGTGTTAAATGTAAAGGTACATTTAGTTCCCTGAGCTGGCCATTTATTTCTGCTCCTTTCCTCCACAATCACATCCAATCTCAACCTTGAACTGTTCCTTGTCCATCGTTGAAAATCTATCCAAAGCCTTGGTAGCGACCGCCACCTTGGCATGACGCCCGGTCTTGGCCGTCGCATGCTCGACGACCGTCCCGTGGATGACGAGGGCGCACAGCTCGTCGCTCTCGGTGACGGCCCTGACACCCTCCTCGACGCCGCAGGGCACGGTGGAGGCGCACAGGCGCCATCCGGTGCACGAGAACTCGCCTCCTAGACGCTGTGACAGCCCCGTGACGGGATGGTTGCTGGCGAAGGAGTCGTACGTGTTCATGTTGACAAAGTAAGGGAGGATGTGCTGGGTGAAGAATTTGTGCACCACGCTGTAGTCGTATTTGGCGTCCACAAACATGGCCCCGACGAGCGCCTCGACGATATCGGGGAGCGCCTTGGGGGGAGGCGGAGCCTCGAGCCAAAAGTCCAGGCGCATGTCCGTGCCTGTGGTCTCGGCCTGGAGCTTCGCCGTCTCTTCTGCCAGTTCCAAGTCGGAGATGTATTGGCTCACTTGCCCGCTCAGAGAGGCAGTTGTGCTCATCATGTGAGGGTGGAGGTCAAGACGCACGCAGAGAAAACCCAGGAACTGGTTCGACACCATTGCCATTTTGTGTTCAGTCAGCCACTGGGGATCAGCCTTGGGGAATGTACGAAAGAGGTAGTTAACAATGCTCATGTCGAGGAGAGCATCACCCAAGAACTCAAGCTGCTGGTAGTTGGGAATGTTGTCCCATGTCCAGGATGGATGCTTGAATGCGCTTCGGGCTAGGGAAGGCGATTCAAAGGTGTACCCGACCTTCTTTCCAACAACCTGCGCCGTGTATTCGTGAGCTGCTGGCACTCGCTCAGGGAAATGCCAGCCTGGAACTTTGTAGGCTTGGTAGTATTCCGCGAATGACTGCATTTTATGTTTCTTGCTCTTGACCATGACAGAAACGGCCTTGACTGCCATATCCATGTTATCACTACTGAGATACGCCGCACCGATCAAGGCCTCGCAGACATCTGCAATTGACTTGTCGGCAAGGTCGTGATGAAGCTCGAGTTTCGGCGCCTTTCCCTTTTTCAATTTCAAATTTGGGTACCAGATTCTCCGGTCAAATGATTTGGAGCGGATGAATTTTTGCAGCTCGCGGTCAACTGCATGGTTGAAGAGATTGTTGTTGCACACTAGCAGCATTCGCTCAACGTGATACTCATACTCGGTGCTTTCTGGCTTGAGAGTGAAGAGCGCTATTGTTGTCGACATCTTGAGAAATGTATCCCCCAGGAATTCTAAACGCTCGTAATTCTTCTGGCCGTAATCGTCATCCTCATTTTCTATACCATCCTTGGTGATGGCTTCAAGAGCTAGGTCAGGAAGTATGTCCAGCCCCAGCAGAGAACAAGCCTCTAAAGCAATCAAATACTGATCAAGTTGGAACAAAAGAGCAGGGAGCAAATTTGCCATGGAGATGATATCCATAGGAATCGAAGAGATATCAAGAGGCTCTGGAATCACACAACACCTGGCATCCCTCGCATCATCAACGAAAAACTGATCTAAAAAGTTGCGTCGCAAGGATAGTAACTCTGCATCAATTACTGGTTGGCCATCATCCCATACTGCTTGCTTCCTGGCTTTGATATATAGGCTGTTGCTGTATTCTTTGATGACTTGTGCCACCTCTCGATAAGCGCGGGATTTCAGCGGCGGAGCATAGCCTGGTGTTGGGTCATTTAGGGTCAGCTTCTTGTTGATGTCATGAAAAATGAACTTCCGCGAGCCGTCTAGGGGGTCCCGGGCGAATCTGTTTCGAAAAAATTCGTCTGGTCTGTTCTTCCAGCTAAGATAAGGGTCTGCCAGCATTTCTTTGAGGCAGGCCCAATCTATCGCAGCCTCTTTGGATAAAATTACTGAACTATGAGAGCCCTCGACGGGAGCGAGAAAATAAGGGATTTCCCCGGGGCCTGCCTCATACTCCTTGCTGAACAGGTCAATAAAGACCTTGAGGGTGAAAGTGGCAATGTCATCAACCTGCGCTGATGATAATTCTAATGGGTGTTCCGCTGGGATGACCATAACATGTGAAGAATGTCCGTTCCCAAAAAACAAAGGAATGGCAGGAATCGATGGAAGTCTTTTCCTCGACAACAGAAGTAGAGGGCGAGACTGGCGCCCTAACCCTTGAGGGTGCTCTATAGCCAGAATGGTCGGGAATAGCTGTGTTGGGGTCTCGGTTTCAAGCTCTGTCCATATTTGAGGCTTGACTAGCATTGGATATTCTGCCTTTTTATTGGGGCTTATAGCTAGCCTGGCGTTTCTCATGGCCGGCAGCTTCTTGGCAAAGGAAGATTGCAAGTGCCCATTGATAAACTTCTTTTGGATCAAGATCATGCAAGCTTCGAAAGCCGCCGAGTATCTCGATAATTGCTTGTTCCGTTGGGGGTGCCCGGTGACACGACTGACTGGGCAAGATTCTGGTAGGATGACGTCGGCAACGAACTTCTTCCCAATGGGCATGACAATGTATTCGGTGAAGTAGCGACGGATTCCAGTCGTAAGGGTGGAGACAAACTTCTCAAGAACCTCGATGCTGTTTTCGAAGCTGAGGCGAGCACCAAGCTGAGTCTCATAGCTCTTCTGCCCAATTTGTTCTGCCCGTACTAGGGCATCAGCGTCCAGCATTGTCCCATCTTGAACTTTCCGATCGGACGGAAGAGCAGCACAAAATTGCCGCAACGTGTTTGAGTCTCTGCTCGCCTGCTTCAACTTTCTCAAATCTCTGCCATTGTCTGTCTCGATCATGTTTATGTATCGGGAGTTGGTCTGCCTTGCCCGGCCCCTTGACTGAATATACTGGATGACGGAATTATACAAGTCGAAACGGATGACCAAATCGCACTCTGGAACGTCGATGCCTTCCTCTGCTACAGGAGTGGCAAAAAGGCAGTTTGTCTCCCCGGACTTGAACTTCTGAAGCGCAACAATCTGATCGCGGAAGGTCATCGTGGGCCAGCTCGACCCGACGGACTGTGTACCGATCTGGTTGTCCCGTTAGCACAGATGAAAGCGACCAAGCTGGATATTCGCATGACATACCATATACGAAGGCATCAAGCCCTCGATTTCCATTCCAGGCTGCCGAAACATCTCCGTCAATAGGACCGCAGTTGGCCGCTGCTCTACAAATATAATCGCACGACTTGTTTCCTGTCGGTGGAATGCATTCTCGAGAATTTCCCACAGAGCTTTGACCTTAGGCGAGATTCGATCGAGGCCCTTGGAGACGGGGGCAATCTTGTGAGATTTCAGGATCTCCTTGACGTTTTGAACTGCAGATACAGCCTTGTCAGAATGGTCAGCAGCACCTGCACCATCAAAATGGTCTCGCTCAGTCTTGGCCACCAGCCTCACTATTTCTGTGTCGGTAATGAACAGAGACCAATAATGATCGGCACACCATGGGCCAAGGACCGAAGATGCGTCCTTGGTATACTCAAGAGCGGCACGAAACTCGGGATTGTATGATACCTGCCCGTGGATTTTCTCCCACAGCCCTGTCTTGGATTCCTCGACGGGTGGCGGGCCATCAAACCACTCAACACTCTCCACCAACTTTCGCTGTTCAAATCCCTGGAGGAGCGCGGCATCCGAGACGGTCGCGATCTCGCTACAGAGCATAAGCTCTAGCTCTGCAGCGGCGGCTCGCATGTCTCTCGTCTGCGCATCCACTGGAGAGGCAGTCATGCCCAAGATGCGGGGGCGTGTTTCGCCGGGCTGTCGCATGTAGTAGTTTTTGATAATACGAGCGTAAGGGTGATTTTTCTTCGCGTGATGGGCTTCGTCAAAGATGAGGAGACTAACCTGGGCCATCGTTATGAACCCGTTTCTCAGTGCATCAAGGAGAAGCTGCGCAGTGCACACGATGGCCATGTTCTCCTCCAGCTGCGAGTCCCAAAACTCCTTTGCACTTCGTAACCCCGCAACTTCTCCATGGAGCTTCGCGATTGGGAACTCGAGATTGTGCCTCAAGACGGAGTGTTGTTGATAGCATAGGGCATTCTTGTCGACGATGAAGAAGGCGACCTTCTTGGGACGACCTTGGGCGATGGACTCTTGTTCCCTTTCGAGGATGTGCCTCATGAGGAGAACAGCAATCAGCGTTTTACCGGATCCTGAATTTTTAGAGTTGTTAGCGATGGAAAATTAGCAATATGAAGATACCCACCTGTATCAAGAACCACGATGATATTCTTCTCCTTGGCACGTTCGAAGAGATCCGTTTGGTATTCGCGGGGGCTGGCAATAATCTTCCTGACGCCGCCATCGTCGATCATTCTCGATAGTGAAAGCTTCTCTGTGTCCTTCGCAAGCTCCTCCATCGGCTTAGAGAGCTCGCGTTGGTTCTCGTTCGCCCATGCTTCGAATATGGCCAGGTCTCGACGTTTCTTTTCCGAGATCTCTCGGGGATTCTCAGGATTGACATTCAGTCTGTAGGTATCGTCGTCTTCATCGTCCGAAAGAGATTCATCAAGCGGGGGGGTTTCGTCGATGCTTGTGTCACCCTTGAGGCTGGGCTCCTCTGATGGCGAAGCCATCTCTGTGCAGGGCACACACAACGTGTGTTGGATGGGCAACAAGTCTCGGAGATGGAAATGCTTCGCGCTCAGAAAGATAGTAACAATAATAGAAAAGTTCCCTGAGTGGTAAAATAAACCGAACTGGAAAAAAAACCTGCGGTGAGAAGTAGCGAGAAGGAGGAGTGACGGGAAGGTGCAGCTCAACAGAGTGTGCACGTGCCTGCCGCAGCCGCTGAACACACCTGTTTGCTTCGCTCAGATTGCAGGTATGAAACGCGGGAAAATTCAAGCTGAGGGAAGACTTTCTGAAGCAATGGATAATGATTCTAGCGAATAAAGTCTGGCCATGAGCAAAGCAGGATCCCGCCTATTGTGTCTATGCCGGTTGTCTTTGTTCGTTTGTGAGCCACAACGCCGCAGCATCACTTGGATGCAGTGTCACCAAAGAAAAATTAGACAGTATACCTGAACGTCGTTTAATCATTATTCATATGAGACATGCTAGTCTAGAGATTGCATGCTTTTTCCCGTTGCCTTCCTTTTATCCCGAGCCGTTGCCATACTTCGCATCAAAACCAATCCATAAAATTGCAAACCGACCTGGTCGACCAGGCGCAAGTCCAAATCCAGCGTTGAATACCACGCATACTCCTGACCGAAACGTAGACGGATAAATCAAACACCTGACCCAGATCGTATCGGGCTACCGCCCATAACTCCATGATAGCATAGACTAGCAGGTCCCGTGTTGAGCGAATGTGTTCAACTTGGACTACAGCTAGTGCATTCGTGACCAAATAGAATCAAATCCCATGCGCCAGATAAAACCCCATTCCGCAACCGCAATGCAAAGACCGTCTGTAAAGAAAAATTCATCCCTCCATGATAACATCCTCATTCTACTGTGCGGCCTCCCCCGTCTCCGTCACCTCGCCCTCGCCCTCGCCTTTACCCTCACCCCCTCCCGCTCCACGATCAAACGAAACAAACTTCCGCGCAAATTCCGCTTCTTCAGCATCCAGGGCGTAAACCGCAAAATCAGCACACCCGGCATATTGGGCCCGCTCGGCGTCCTGTCCAACGTCGCCCTGCATGGCACGCTCAGCCGTCGTGAACTGCTGCTGCTTCTTAATTATCATCTTGTTATCCTGCAGGCTCAGCATCCGGCCAGCTCCAACACCACCGGGGCCTCTGTCCGCCTGCAGAGCGAACTGGGCTTTGACCGCGGTGGCGGCAAAGTCGGCGTGGCAAGCCGACCAGGCGTAATTCGTCGTCTCCAGCCTGCCTCGCTGCGTGGTCAGAACCCTGTTCCTGTACTGGCCGAAAATCGGTTCGAGCTTCCGAGTTGATGATGAGAATCCAACTCTGCTGCCGGACCTCGCTTGCTGTAGCATGGTGCCCGAAGCCGGAGCAGGTGGAAGAGGAATAACGCCAACGCCGGATATAAAACACTGTACAAATATGTTACGGTTAGACCCAATAATCCCAAAACGCGATAAAATCCAGTAGTATATTGCCCTAGTAAGATTTGGAAGCAACACTAACGGAAGGACTTGCCTGGTTGTTGTTCTCGACGGCCTGGGAGTCTTCCAATGGTGCTGAACTAGCAGATCCAGCAGCAGCAGCTGCAGGAAATGGTGCTCGGTTCACCTTCCGTTTGTTTCCCTCTGAACGGAGGCAAGTTGTTTCTGGTTGGTTATCCTGATCTTCAAAAGCGTGCGACATGCGTGGTCTCTTACGTTTCGAGGTCTTCTCGTTCTCTGGGAGATAATCATCATCGCCGTCCGAATCGGGCGCGGCTGCAGCATCGACCAAACAGTTGTCTCTCACCCGGCGGCTGGGCTTGCGCTCTCTCCGAAGCGGGACCGGGGCCTCCGGGGATTCGAGGTAATTCTGGTACCGTGTGTCGAGAGCCTCTCTCAGTTGGCTCGCCGCCGTGGACTGGACCTGATCGCCGGGGCAGGGGGCTGCTGCTTTCCTAAACAGGGCAGCTCTGTCCAAACTTTTCGGTAACGAAGGCTCTTTAAAATGCTGGACTACCCCGTCGCTGGATGCGTTTCCCTTCATCGATAGCGGAATGTAAGGTCGTTCTGGCCTGCTCTCCCCACCACGATGTACTTTCATACTCTCTAGAATCGGCCTTGATGGTAGCGGGTACTTAAATTCCCCTTGGTGTTCTTTCGAGTTCTCTGTAGTAAACCCAGGTCGTAGCGGGCGGTCCTGAACAACCCCTTGTTTAAGAGATTGGTAGCCGACGAGGAAGCCTGGGGGCTCTCCATTGCCGGAGCTAGGATTCAAGTCATCTGCATTGCCCGGATTGTCAAGCTGCGTCTCGAGTGCAGAAGGCGCCAAGGCGCCACCTTTCGTAGGATCAACGGCATGTTCAGGGGATTCGGGACCTCTGTCTGGACGATAATTCGCAGACGCCGGACGTGAGACGGTAATGACATCCTTACTCGGGGGCTGGCGCTCGAACTGACAATTAGTCATTTTGAACGTGCGAGTCGGTGACCGCTGTTGCTCAATGAGGGTGGAAACCAAGTGGCCCGGTAAGAATGGCTGAGCGTGGCAAAAGAACTGTCTCCTAAGAGCTTCACGTACCTCGGTCGCCTCTTTGCAATTCTGCGGTTGGGTCCTCGCCCGTTGTGCCGCCGCGTTGGATGGTGGGCTGGAAGCACAAACAGCATCTTTGCTGGCCGAATCATCTCTCTTCTTCCGCTTATTGTCATTGCCGTTCTTGGTTTGCTGCCGGCCACGACCGGCCTTCTTGTCGGTGGCAGCAGTCTGTCGACGCCCTCTTTTGGTCTGGGAAGTAGGAACGGCCCCTTCGCCGGCATGTGCGTCGTGGCCTCTGATGGACGTGAAGACCTCGGAGGGCACTCGACTTTGGACCATTCCATCGTCGCAAACGTCGCGGTACCGGCGTTCCACGGCATCCATATCGATTAGGCCTCTCGCGTGTGCCCTTCGGAGAAGTTGAGCATCAAGGCAGTCTTGCAAAATTTCGACCTCGATAGGCAGTTCTAAAAAGTTCTGGCGGATGTTCAGCCCAACCCAGTCATAGAGCATCTCTGAAAAGCGGTCCAAGCGGTGCGAGCGGAGGAAACTCGCAGCCTTTTCCATCTCTTGGTTGGAGATGCGGTCGAAGCTCAAGTCTGGCCGGCCCGAGGGGAGTAGATCGAGGATAGATCTGTTCGCATTGGAGGCAAGTTGCTTGAGTTTGTCCCAGTTGATGTTGCCTAGCGTCTTCTTCCACTCTTTGTATGCTTCGTACTGGGTGATGTATGTGGTCAGGAATGTCTGTATCTGGGCGCGCGAGAGCTGTAGGACGGTGGTGATTATAGCTGCGAAGCCTCTTGGATTTCCACCCTCGGCCAGGCCGTCTTCACAAAGAATCGAGAGTACGATCCACTGAGCTCCTGTGCTCAAGCCCTCCCACGTGGTGGTTTGATTGCGGATTGTTTCCTCGACGTGTTGGGGTTGGGGCTGTTGGTCAGTTCCTCCCCTCCATAGCAGAGTCGAGGAATATGCAGCTTCGGCATCTACTTCGCCCGGTGATCCCCAGTCGACGGAATCGAAGCAAGGATAAAACTCGGTCTCGGGCCAATTTTCTGGAGGAAACATCATCGAAAAGCACACTTGATGGCGATGATAAGAAAGAGAGCACAAGACCAATGATTTCTCCGGGATACCAAAATGACGAGAAAAAGAAAAGAAAGGAAAAGAAAAGAAAAGAGACGAAGATCGGAGAAGGGCCAGCGAACATGTGCTCAGGGCATTAGTCCTGGACCTGGCTTGTGGATAAGGAGAATGAATGAATGGAATAGAACGTGTTCTTGCAGAATTAAAAGCAGGGTGCCGTGGGCAGAAGAATGTGTTGATTAAATGTGCCCGCGCGGTCGTTTGCGGTCGCGGTTGCGTGCATGGTGGCTATTGATGAAGGCTGCGTGAGAGGGTGAGAGGGGGGTGAGAACTGGGTGAGAGAGCAAGCTCTGCCGCTGCCTTTTTCTCGTCCATCATGCCACACCAAAACGCCTCAACATGCCAGAGCCTGCGTCGTAAAAAGAGATTTTGTCTGATTTATGAAGGAACTAACTATGAGTCCTCCCCGTCTATACCGTAGCCCTGGTCCACTGTTCCGTTGCGCCCGCAAGAAGGAGAAGAAATGAAAGCTGCAAATAATAACAAGAGTAAAGCATCAGAGAATACAAACTGCATCCATAACAATACAGCAAACTCATGGCGATTGCTTGTTTACCTCCCCCCCTCAATACACACTTGATCCCAGATAATTAGTGTGTGGGTGTACTGGTGCACAAGAAGTGAGCTCGCCATGGTCACCTTGAAAACCCTCAGAAGCCAAGTGCGCCAAACCCCTATTGATGAACCATTTGCAATTCGTAGAAATAAGCTTCCCCGCAAAATGAATTAGTATAGCCTTTCCATGATCCTTGTCGTAGTAGTCGTGGATGCTGTGCTGATTTCAGCGCAAGAAAGCTAGGACATATCGCGGTCCACAAACGGCTCAAAGGCTCGCCGGCCCCCTATCTGAAGGCCGTTTACGCCATCATTTAGATGACCGCAGCTGTCGAAATCAGATTCGTCGGACTCTTCAATCCGGCGCTTTGAGTGGATGCTGGCCGCGACTTCATCAGATTGGTTTCTGGCAATGGCCCCTCGCGCCTTGACGATGTCCTCCCATGCCAGGAGCAAACGCTTCGCATCCTCGTCGAATATGCAGCAGAAACGCTGCATGTTGATGAATTGGAGAGCGTCCCGCAGGGTTTTGCCAAAAACCGCCATAATGTATGCTGCAACAACAATGGCGGACCTATCATTGCCGGTCTCGCATGCAACTAGAACTCTGCCCGACTCGGGAGAAATCTGGCGCATTTTTAGGAGATGTTCATTCACGAGACGAATTAGGCCCGGTAGCTCCTGGATCAGATGTTGTTGGGAGCCTACGCCGACGTACTGCGAGGCGACGTTCAACTCCTCCATAGCTCTGTCAAGGCTCGAGATGCGCGATGCCATGCGCGAATCTCGGATGATCAAGACCATGGTGATGCCTTCTGTTCTGAGAAAGTCGAGGTCTCGAATTGCATTAATCGGACCGAGATAAATGAAGTCGAGAATGCGTTGCGCCTTACGCCGCTGCTCGTATCTCCACCCATCCGCCGATCCAAGGGCAACGTATGGCTGCGTTCCGACGATGGCTTTGACATCTTGGATAGAGAGCTGGCTGCAGTCGACATTATCGAAGGAGGGGAACATGGAGATTCCGCGAGGGGCTCCAGGGCCCTGTGGTTGTGTGAAGACAGGGACTGGGATCATCGGCGGACTCGGTGGTCGTCGCGTGTACGGTGCGTTGGGGGCGGCCTCGTGGGTCATCATCTTGGTGGTGGTTTGTTGGTCGAGGGGGATGAGAGGGTCTGGGAGGTATGCGAAGGTAGTTGCTGGCATCGCCAGATGTTGCGTTGCAGTCTGTTGAGAGAGCCCGGAACTGGCCTCGGAGCGGGTTGTTGTCAAGGCACCGTGCGGAAGACGACGAAAGATGAGGGAATTCTCAGCTGTCGACGCAGGGAGGAGCTAATGTATTCTGGCGGGATACCACATTGACAAAGAAGCCCCTCTGATGCTGCGGTAGCTTTGTGTGCAGGGTGTAAACAATGAATTGGCAGAGGAGCATTGTGATGGCGGAGGGCTGACTCGGGAACTTCCTCTGATTTAGGCGCACGCTACAGAGGCAGCGCCTGAGCTTAGGTGGGCGTGCAGGCACGACGCCAGATGTGCAGGCACATGGAGGCAGCACACCCACGGCACAGGCCCTTCATCCGGCACCTAGGCCACTGTGGGCTGACTCGCATGGGTGTTTCAACTCATTGCAGGTGGGTGGGAGTAGGAGGTGCATGCATCCATCCATTCACGCGAGCCGTGATCGCATGCATGTACCAACCAAGCGGCCAAATCTAGGTACCCATCGCAAGATGTGCCACATACCGGACCATTTGCGCGGCTGCCTGGCCTGTTGGGACTTCCATCCCATGTGGTAGGTGAGATGAGGTGCAGTAGATGCGCATGTACAACACAGAGCCTGCGAGGAGAAGCGCAGCCTAAAATTAGCCTTCCCGGTGGACCATCAGCCCCCCAAAATGGAAATGGGGATGGAAACCCCTAGGGATCCCTATGGAGCAATTACCCCACTATGTAGGTAACTTCGCAGCTACTGCACGTGCACCTCTTTAGCTTTCTGTTTGCCTTCAACTTGCTTGCACAAGCTGATGTGCCAATGCAGTCGTGAGGCATCTCTGAATCAGCTTTGTCCTATTGGTTCGTTCTATTGTACATGTGCCGCAGGCAAGCGGCGCCTGCAGGATAAAAGTATGGTACTGTACATTCCACTATAATACACCTCTATGCATGTCGTATTCGACGCCGGCCTGCGCGTCAATCATTCATCAATACTCCCCCGATGAGCACCAAACGAGTGCCCCAGGCGGCCCAGCCTTCTTGGAGGGGGAGCAGGAGAGGAGAACTGCCACGCGGTTTACGAGTTCCCGGCTCCATGATACGAATCCTCGGCTCCACGATTCGCATTCGCCGCATCACGAGACGCCTCTACCAGCTCCTGTAATCTTGATGCCACCTCATCTGCGGGGAGGAATTCATTCTCCATGATTCCTTCCTCAACTTCTTGTCTCATCATCTCTTGACTCATATGATCCGTCTGGGCCTTCCTGCGTTCATGCTGTCGTCTCCTGGCTAGTGCCTGTTCGGTGAAATCCAGCTTGTCCAAAATATCAATCAGTCGTTCCTCCACTAGTGATCGCACATGGAAGGCAAGGGCTTGGTCGCGGAACACGCTAGTGAATCGATAAGAGAGCCACACATAGCTGTTGATGGCAACATGGAGCTCCTCCAATTTGTCGAGATAATCCGCCCCGTGTATGTGAGGGTCTGACATGTCCATATCCAAATACTCGAGCGGGATCTCCTTGATGGAGAGGAGATCTCCGGGAGCGTTGGTTGCCAAAATCTTGGCCATCGCGCGGATAACCATGGGGCCTCGTTCGGTCGAGAGTTTGGTTGGGACGAAACACAATGTGAGCTTGTCGCAGATGGTAAGGGGAAATTCCGAAATGAGGTCGGCAAGTTGGATCCTGTCGTTCGGAAGACTCAGTTTATATTGCTGTCCTATAGCGGCCGCGGTTCGTATTCGCATCAAAATAAAGGAGAGGGGTGTCTCGGGCGGGTAGTATGAGGCAAACCGTTCAATGATGCCTGGAGGAGCTTCGATATAGGCATGTTCGATGTCCGGGATTGGCTTCAAGAATGCTTCCTGGACCCTCCGTAGATCGTCGTAGTCCATCGTTGTAACGAGCCCTCCCTGTGAACTCTCGTTCTCGGCGCCAGGCCGGCTGGCTGTTCGAAAACGTCCAGCCCGACCGCCGATTTGCTTGATTTCCGGGTCTGAAAGAGTGCGGTTCTGGGCTCCGTCAAACTTGAAGACCGACTCCATAATCACACGGCGAATCTCAAGGTTAAGGCCCATCCCGATAGCATCACTAGCAACAATGTAGTCATAATCGTTGTCTGGATCATTGAAAAGAGCTGCCTGCTGGACACGAACTTCAGGGGGGAGTGAACCGTAGACAATAGCACATCGCCGACCCGTGTGTCTCTCAATGCTGCGTTTCAGGGTGTGCAAGGAAAGACGACTGAAGGCGACGATGCAGTCTCCTTTTTCGAGATGAGAGAGATCACCGTCCAAGGCATCGTCCATTGTGGCGAGGGGACTTAACCTTTCATATCGGTGCACAATACATTTGTCACCGATACTTGCACATAGAGATTCTATGAGCTTCACGGCTCGTTCTTCGCCGCACACGTGCATTTCCTTTGCTTGGATACCAAGAAAAGCCATCGTCCATGCATTGCCGCGCTCGGCGTCACCGATCATCTGAATCTCATCAATGACTGCGACATCAACCCTCCCATTGAGAGGCACCATCTCCACGGTACAACTCGAAAAGTATTGGTCTGTGGTATTGGGTAACTTGACCTCTTCACCTGTGACCAAGGCACAAGGCAGGCCCTTGGCCGTAAGTCGCTGATACACCTCGGTGGCCAGCAGTCGCAACGGCCCAGCGTAGACACCACTCTTTGCGTTTTCTAGAGCCTTGAGCGCATTGTATGTCTTTCCTGAATTGGTCGGGCCGACGTGGACATGAATGGTTCTCTGCATCTCTCGGGTTCCTGGTAGCCACTCTTGGGGAAACCTGAAGTCAAGCAGGTTCTTCTGACACTTGTCCATGCCGCGGGAGAAGCGATTTCGAACCATGAAGGACTGGAACGCATAGCGGACCTCGCCGGTTAGGGCCTTGTTGTGACCCTGGATAAAGGCATCTCGCAGGTTCCAAAACAGAGGATTCTTATCCTTGCGCGTGATGTTTTGCTGTGCGAGAAGGAAAGCATTATCAATGGAGTTCATGAACAAGATGGCCTCCTGCTGCAGTCGCTCCTTGCCGGCATCACCGCCCGACTGCTCCGCACGAGCAAGGTCATTTAGCACGTCTTTGAGACGGGCCAAGACGGTCTTTCTGAGGAGTGCATGGTGCTTTGCA